CTCGTGGTTGACAAGTTGCCCAACCAATCCGGACCATGTTCCATTCCTTAGAATACCATATTCGCTATTTGTTGAATTCACAATATCGTATGTAAAATTTAAATACCGACTCATTGTATGAAGAATATTATAATAATTCTTTTCAAACGGATTGTCCGGGACTACGCCAATTATTATTTTCTTTCCGTTCAATTTGTAGCGTATGTTGGGAAATATTTTCTCACCAGTCGGCACTCCTTGAACTGATTCAAACATATTACCGTTCAGAGTCAGAATTCCTATACACCGACTGTTACTGGGAATCACTACTGCCACATTCGTTAAATTGGTCTGGAATCCTGATGTCATGAAAGAGCTACACCAGTTTGAAGGAAAGATAAGCCACTTAGATTTGGTATTAAGTAAGATTTCTGATGTCCCTGATGGTACCAAATCAAAACTGCTATTATCAAAAGAACATTTGGTTGCGATTAACCTTACAATGTTCATGAACTTGTATAAATGCTTTCTGTATATTAACAGAAGAAAATCGTTCTCTTCGCTTCTGGATAATGAGACAACTGTAAAAAGGATGTCTCCTGTTCGAGTTGTGATACCAGTTCAGAGGCTTGTTCATCGGAATCACTGTCGTGAACAATAACATTTTTTTTCCAGGACAACTGCTGTAAAAGGTATATAACGTCGGAGACTTGAAATGTGTTTACTTGTGTAATTGAATTACCTCCGGAAGAATATGTCCCTATACACACAATTAATAACATTGTAAATTTGAATGCAGCCATTTCCAAATCATTCACACTATCTTAACGTTAGTTATTCCTAGAATCGTTGCGTTGAAGATGATTTCTCAAGCTCCTATTAAGACTGTCCTAAATGAGATTTACCTTAATTCACCTCCCTTTTGCAAATTGCTTCAAAAACACAACGTACACAATGCAATGCTCATACGATATATACACAGGGTACACCAAACGTCATTTAAAACAGAGAAGTTCTAGTCCTCGTTGAACAATTACAATTATGACAATTCTATTATTGATGACAATATAAAAGAACAATATAACGGTATATAAGATGAATAGGTCAATATCCACAACTATTAGTCACTGTAAAAAAAAGGTGCTTAATACATCAATAGTAAAGCGAGATTAGACACTATGTCATTTGATATGATTCTCACTCTTTGCCTATATATTAGCAGAAAGTCGGAATTTTCACTCATTTTATTGAATCAAAACCATGACCTGACACATAATCAATAGAAATGCGTTTTATCAAAGTTCTAAAAACACAAAATACGTAACATTTGTTAATTATCTGAAATGTATATAATTGATTTTTGTGGCTCATAAAACACTAACCACAGGAAGGATGTATCCATCAGGAAAAAATAATACCCGTTTCCAGCCTGCTTCAGAACAGTCTAGTTAAAATGAGGCTAAACCAATGTTTCGATTTTTTATTAACTTTAATTTTTTATATAGCCACTTCAGTTAGGATCTAAAGACAGTCCTCTTGAACGTTTGTCAGAATTTTAATTGGACTCTGTTTGGAACATCTTAAAAAAGGCACATTACTTTATGAAGATTTTTCCCACGGAAGTTTTGATTACAGATTCGGACGATCATCTGTAGCATTAATATTCCCAAATTGGTATTGGGATTTTCAATATTTTATTTTATTGTAATGATTTCAAAATGAACTGCAGATCAATAAGTGGGAAGGCCTTCATCAGACTAGTGGTTAAAACCAAAGCAAACCTCTATTGTTAGCTGTCAACAAAGATAGTTCTATCAAGAATAGAATATTACATAATTGTAAAATTTTCTAGAGCTCATACAATGCTGTTGACACATGTGTCAGATTCCAAATCATAACGGCTAGTTTACGAAATAGGTTTACCTTTGTAAAATAGGCTTTTGGGTGTATCAGCAAAATAAACCAACTCACAGGATGGAGAGATTTGTCTAGGACTCCCGAAATGAGATTTATGGTATAATAAACTAACACTAATTTTATTGGTTGGGAATTTTCGTTTGTTGTTGTATTTTACCAAACAGTACACAAGGCTTATTGTATTTATAAAAGAAAACACAAAGCTTGTTAGATTTTACCAAACTTGCTGGATTTTACCAAACAGTACACAAAGCTGATTGTATTTATAAAAGAAAACACAAAGCTTGTTAGATTTAACCAAACTTGATGGATTTACCAAACAGTACACAAAGGTGATTGTATTTATAAAAAAAACCACAAAGCTTGTTGTATTTTACAACACAGTACACAAGGCTTGTTGTATTGTATCGTATCTATAAAAGAAAACACAAAGCTTGTTAGATTTTACCAAACTTGCTGGATTTTACCAAACAGTACACCAAGCTGATTGTAGAGAAAACACATCAACAACACATGCCATAATATCAATAAAAAAAAACATCACCGTATTGTACCTGAAGCCCGTCTATAGTGCCGCACATTTTCGATCACCAACGTTATGCCAGCTATGACCACACCACCAGCAAGTAAAACAAATACACCTTTGACATTATCCAAGAAAAGGGGTTTGACTGTTTGATCAATTACTCCACATTGAGATTGGCGATTATCTTGTGGTTTCATTATTTCATCAAGTAAACCACTATTCTCAATTTTATCTACAAAATCATCTATTTCCGTCTTCAAAAGAGAGCCTTTTGGGACTGCCATGGAGTATTCAATATTTGGAACATTAAATAGACGGTCATTAAATTCTAGTGAACAGTCTCCGTGAATTTTCATGCGTTCACCACCCTCCGAAGATACAAATGCATATTTCCCCTGAGAAACCCTTTTCATATGTAAGTTTATATCTGTTGATTGAATATCAGCATCCTTCTGTGTGCGACTTCTAAGTGATTTCCAAAACATTTGAACATCGTCATTTTTAGATGTGTTGAGAATAATAACTTCAGACGTACTGCCCAGAACACCAATCTGCCAGTCCGGTAAATCTAAGAGGTCTTGAATAGTTTCAAACGGTTTCACTTGTTTGGGCACAAGAGAGCGTAATAAGGTCGCAGTGTAAGTCGCTGCCAACACAACTCCAAACATCAACCAAAAAGCAAACAGAATCCGAGCAGAGGTTCCCTTTAGATGAAAATTACCTCCCTCCAGAAGTAGGGCAGCTAAAACAAATTCTACAGTATTGGCAACACGACTACAATTTTGATCATTGGACTCTTTATTAGAGATGAATATAAAAAACAAGGATACGCAGATAAAAGATACAATGGTGCAGATATAGACTTTTAATTGTAAAGGTCGAGTTAAGAGAAACCACGAATCACCCACCAGTAACTCTTTCTTGTACAATATTCCAGGTTTTGACGCACCAAAAGAATGAATAAAATCTACTGCGTTGCGCCGATCTTCAGTAGTTGATAACGACGTAAGTCCCAGATCGATCTCGTGGTTGACAAGTTGCCCAACCAATCCGGACCATGTTTCATTCCTTAGAATACCATATTCGAAATTTGTTGAATTCACAATATCGTATGTAAAATTTAAATACCGACTCATTGTATGAAGAATATTATAATAATTCTTTTCAAACGGATTGTCCGGGACTACGCCAATTATTATTTTCTTTCCGTTCAATTTGTAGCGTATGTTGGGAAATATTTTCTCACCAGTCGGCACTCCTTGAACTGATTCAAACATATTACCGTTCAGAGTCAGAATTCTGTTACACTGACTGCTACCGGGAATAACTGCTGCTACGTTCGTTAAATTGGTCTGGAATCTTGTTGTCATGAAAGAGCTACACCAGTTTGAAGGAAAGATAAACCACTTAGACTTGGTATTAAGTAAGATTTCTGATGTCCCTGATGGTACCAAATCAGAACTGCTCTCAGAAAAAGAACATTTGGTTGCAATTAACCTTACAATGTTCATAAACTTGTATAAATGCTTTCTGTATATTAACAGAAGAAAATCGTTCTCTTCGCTTCTGGACACAGAGAGAACTGTAAACAGGATGTCGCCGAGTCGTTCGAGTTGGGATACCAGTTCAGAGGCTTGTTCATTGGAATCACTGTCGTGAACGATAACAATTTTTTTCCAGGACAACTGCTGTAAAAGGTATATAACGTCGGAGACTTTAAATGTATTTACTTGTGTAATTGAGTTACCTTCAGAAGAATATGTCCCTATACACAAAATAAATAACATTGTAAATTTGGATGCAGCCATTTCCAAATTATTTACATTATCCTAATGTCACTTATTCCAAGAATCGCTCATTAAAAAGGGTAAGTGTTCCGTTGAAGAAGATTGGTCAAGCTGCTATTTCGACTATGAGAACGACCGCCACTAGATTCATGTTGATCCACCTTATCCAATATTTTTCAAACTGGTATTTCAGGGACTCAAATTGCTTCAAAAACACAACGTATACAATGCAATGCTCATACGATATATACACAGGGTACACCAAACGTCATTTAAGTTAGAGAGGTTCTAGTCCTCGTTGAACAATTACAATTATGACAATTCTATTCTTGATGACAATATAAAACAACTGCATATCAGATGAACGGGTCAATATCTACATCTATTTGTCACTAATAAAAAAAAATATTTTCACTGATAAAAATAGTGCTCAATACATTAATTTTAGAGCGATATTAGTCATAATATCATTTGATATGATTCTCAATGTTTGCCCATATAATGGCAAAATTCTGAAGTCCACTTATTTCATCTGACACATAATAAATGAAAATATGTTTTTGTAAAAGTTCTAAAAACACAATATACGTGATATTTGTTAATTAATTTTTCAGTATTGTAAAGCCATGTTTTCGTGTGATTTCTGCGTTCGTCAATCATTTGAACTGGATATAATTGATTTTTGCGGCTCAAGGCACACTGACCAAAGGAAGGATGTCTCTACCACGCCTGTTTCAGAACATCTCGAAAAAGAGACCTTACTTCATACTTCATAAGATTTTTCCCACATAAGTTATGATTACAGATTCAGACAATCATCTGCCAGCATTAATGTTTCCAAATTGATGTTTTTCATCGGTGATGATGCTTTTCATCGTTGATGTGTAATTTCAAGCTGTGGAAATGAAAATGTAGTCGTATATTGTTGTCCGTCGATCAATATTTCTTGTGGGCACGGTAGAGACTACAGTCTGCATCTGATTTTGATGAAACTTGGTGTGAGCATTGGAATTGATAACATTTCTGTCGAGTTCCAATTTGACGATTTTTTGATAAACCTATTTTGAGTTATTGCCCTTGACTTAGTAAAATCTCGTCAAAATTTGTTTGTTGGTAATATAGAAGTTACAATTTTCAGTCGATTTTGAAGTTCTCGTTCAAGATAGAATTTCATAATTTTTCGATGATTGGGTTATGAGTTATTACCCTTGACTAAGTCAAAATTGTACAATTTGTTCATGATCACAATCGAGACTACAGATTTCATCTTATTGAAAAGAAATTTGGTCTGATCATATATATTGATGAGAATTTGAAAAAATGTAATTCGACGAACGTTATTTTAGTTATTGCACTTGGCTTTAAACATGTCAAATTGTTCTTGTTCTTCTATTTGAATCTTTCCATTAACATTGATAAGGTATTAACATTGAGTAAGATATTAAATTCAAGTTTAAGTGATAGTAATGATTATTGTAACTCTTATAAAAGTTGAGAAACCAAAAGTTCATCATGTCAATCTTCACTGATTACTATAGTCGTGTTAACTGCTCAAATTAAAAACTGACAGATTCAGAAGAGGATTGGTGTATGTTTGATGCATTAAGATTATTCTGTTCAATGCGACATAAAACTATTAAATTGTCTCGTAGTTGAACTTACAGTCATAATATTTCATATTTGCACCTGCATGTGTGTTAAATGAAAATATTTTAATTATCTCCCTTCACAAGCGTAGCATTTTGAACATTGAGTGTATTTTCATCATCACCTTTAGCTAACAGTCGTTTTAACAGGTTTCAACATCTTAGGAAACTGCACCATATCATATTCAACAAATCCTGAGAGTTTCATGCCTCGCAAACTCTCAGAATGTTTTTCATAACTCATTAAAGTTTTGTATAGAAATTAAACAAAAATGCACATTTTTATAGCTGAATTATGGAGTCGTGGCACTCTCTGAAAGTAGGAACATTGGTTGCGGGTTAGAAAAAGTAATCTCCCTGTTGTGCTAAAAATGTCATTTTTAAGCACATTTGATAGCCACAGTTCATAGCCTAACAGAATGGAGAGGTTTCTACCCCCCGCACCCCCACTCTCTCTCTTGCAAATATTTGTAATTTATAATGAGCTAAAATTCATTTTATTGGTTGGGATTTTTGTTACATACAGGGAAGCTCTTGCAAGCCCTTAAGATCACATCTACTTTATCGCTGCACCAATTATCTAAGGGGTTTAATCGCGTAGGACAAAATAATGCTGTACTCTGAATCACCATTCCGATTGAGCATGTGTGTTAAAGGCAAGTTTTGCCTGTTTTTACGAACAATACAAATCTTTTACCAAACAATACACAACGCTTGTTGTATTTTACCAAACAGCTCACAAAGCTTAATGTATTACCAAACAGTACACAAGCGGGTTGTGCTTTACCAAACAGCACACAGTGATTGTTGTATTTTAGCAAACAGTAGGACAGTGCGAAAGCTTAAGCTATAGTGTACACTTTTCACGAAAAGCAAGACAGTTTTGTCTAAACAGTACACAAAGCTTGTTGTATTTCATCAAAAGTACACAAAGCGTGTTGTACTTTACCAAACAATACAAAAATTTGTTGTATTTAGACCAACTTGCTGTAGTTTATCAAACAGTACCCAAAGCGTGTTGTACTTTGCTAACGGTATACAAAGCTGATTGTAAAGTAAAACGCATCAACAAGTCAATATTTAAAAACAGCGTCACCGTATTGAACCTGAAGCACGTCTAAGGTGCAGCACCTTTTCGACCACCAACGTTATGCCAGCTACAACCACACCACCAGCAAGTAAAGCAAATACACCTTTGACATTATCCAAGAAAAGGGGTTTGACTCTTTGATCTATTACTCCACACTGAGATGGACGATTATCTTGTGGTTTCATCATTTCATCAAGTAAACCACTATTCTCAATTTTATCTACAAAATCATCTAATTCCGTCTTCAAAACAGATCCTTGAGGGACTGCCATGGAGTATTCAGTACTTGGAACATTGAATAGACGGTCATTAAATTTTAGTGAACAGTCTCCGTGGACTTTTATGATTGCACGACCGTCCAAAGTCAAAAACGCATACTTACCCTGGGAAACCCTTTTCATATGTACGTTTGTATCTGTTGATTGAATATTAGCATCCTTCTGAGTGCGACTATTAAGGGTTTTCCAAAACATTTTAACATCGTTATTTTCAGATGTGTTGAAAACAATAATTTCAGCCGTACCGCCCAGAACGCCAATCTGCCAGTCCGGTAAATCTAAGAGGCCTTTAATAGTTTCAAACGGTTCCTTTTGTTTAGGTACAAGTGACCGTAATAAGGTCGCAGTGTAAGTCGCTGCCAACACAACACCAAACATCAACCAAAAAGAAAACAGAATCCGAGCAGAGGTTCCCTTTAGATGAAAATTACCTCCTTCAAGAAGTAGGGCAGCTAAAACAAATTCTACTGTGTTGGCAATACGATTACCATGTTGATCATTGGACTCTCTGTTAGAGAGGAATATAAAAAACAAGGATACGCAGATAAAAGATATTATGGTGCAGAGATAGACTTTAAATTGTAAAGGTCGAGTTAAGAGAAACCACGAATCACCCACCAGTAACTCTCTCTTGTACAATATTCCAGGTTTTGACGTTCCAAAAGGGTTTATAAAATCTACTGCGTTGCGCCGATCTTCGATAGTTGATAACGACGTAAGTCCCAGATCGATCTCGTGGTTGACAAGTTGCCCAACCAATCCGGACCATGTTCCATTCCTTAGAATACCATATTCGCTATTTGTTGAATTCACAATATCGTATGTAAAATTTAAATACCGACTCATTGTATGAAGAATATTATAATAATTCTTTTCAAACGGATTGTCCGGGACTACGCCAATTATTATTTTCTTTCCGTTCAATTTGTAGCGTATGTTGGGAAATATTTTCTCATCAGTCGGCACTCCTTGAACTGATTCAAACATATTACCGTTCAGAGTCAGAATTCCTATACACCGACTGTTACTGGGAATCACTACTGCCACGTTCGTTAAATTGGTCTGGAACCTTGATGTCACGAAAGAGCTACACCAGCTTGAAGGAAAGATAAACCACTTAGATTTGGTATTAAGTAAGATTTCTGATGTCCCTGATGGTACCAAATCAAAACTGCTATTAGCAAAACTTATATAAATGCTTTCTGTATATTAACAGAAGAAAATCGTTCTCTTCGCTTCTGCATAATGAGACAACTGTAAAAAGGATGTCTCCGAGTTGTTCGAGTTGTGATACCAGTTCAGACGCTTGTTCATCGGAATCACTATCGTGAACAATCACAATTTTTTTCCAGGACAACTGCTGTAAAAAGTATATGACGTCGGAGACTTGAAATGTGTTTACTTGTGTCATCAAATTACTTTCGGAAGAATATGTCCCTATACACACAATTAATAACATTGCAAATTTGAATGTAGCCATTTGCAGATCATTCACATTATCCTAACGTCTGTTGTTCCTAGAATAGCTTATAAAAACAAGTGTTCCGCGAGAACGAACGTCAACTTCCTGGTATTGCGGAGACTCAAATTGTTTGAGAAACCTCATACAACAATACAGTGTTCACAGGATATACACTACATACACCATGGGTTTCTGTTCTTGGTGAGTAACTACAATTATGACAACTTCATTCTGGATGACAATATAAAAAAACAATATAGCTGCATATCGGATGAATGGGTCAATATTCATATCCATTAGTCACTATATCATTTGAATAACGGCTAATATTTATATGATTCTCAATGTTTGCCTCTATAATGGCATACATGCTGAATTTACACATATTTCATTGAATCAAAATACATAACATGACATATAATCAATGACAATGCCCTTTTATCAAAGCTCTAAAACCACAAAATAGGTTATTTTTTAGTTTTTTTCAAATGGTAAAGCCAACATGTTTTCGTGTGATTTCTGTGTTATATGAAATGTATATAATTGACTTTTGTGGCTCATAGCACACTGTCCATAGGAAGGATATCTACCACGCCTGTTTCAGAACATCTAAAAAAAAGGGGGACCTTAACTCATAAAGATTTTTCCCCAGAAGCTTATATTAATAATTAAATCTTTATCAGGGTGAATATTTGGCCTGGCCTTTTTACAATGTTGCCCTTCAACGGAACACAACATATATAATACAAAGGATACTAAAAACAACATAACTACAATCACAAAGCAGTAAAACTATTAACAGTATATATACAATTATCATTCATCTGATTATGTAGTTCTGTTTTTCAAAAATGAAAATAGTTGTTTTTTAAATTTTGCCAAAACATTGATTTTCTTTAAAGAGTTCCATAAACAAGGGCCTTTATTTTTCAAGCTATTCCTATATATTGATTTAATAGGTTTTGGAGTAAGGAATAATGATGGCAAATTCAGAAGATAATCAGTCAGCATTAATTTTCCCAAATTGATGTTTTTCAGTGGTGATGTGTAATTTCAACAAAGAATTTTTAATATTTTTTTCTTTTGTAATGATTTCAAAATGAACAGAAGAACAATGAGTGGAAAGGCCTTGATCGGACTGGTGTGTAAAACCAAAACATGCCTTAGTTGTTAGCAGTCGATATAGATAGTCCCATCGCCAATGGAATATTAGGCCACATTAAAAATTAATTGGTTATTTTTTTTTTTCAAAAATGTTTAAAAACGCGTAGCGATCTCCAAATTTCGCACAAAACCCCAAGCAGTTCGGAATTCTTTGCGCCATCTAACTTCCTAACATCTGAGGAGTTCTTAGTTCTTTCAATTTTGCAGCAACTGGCGGCATCTCTAATCGACCTGACGCACCAGCAACGGAAAACATTGCAGTTTCGACTAATTTCCGTCAGTTCATGTCATGTCGTCCACCCATCCTATTAGTTCCAGTGATCATCCAATTTCTCAGTTGCTAGTATTTCTGGAGCGTTTCGTAACTGTTCTGGTATGAACTTCGGGATGCGCTCGTACAATATTGACTAACTCTGGGCGAATTGGAAAATTACAACAGCGTACGTCAAGAGTGTACCAAAGACCTGAAATTATTGAAAATACCACCTCTATTGTGTACATTACTCTTGCTCAAGTAAAATCATTTTGCATAGGGGTAATTTAGAAGGTGACTCCGGTACTATGGTGAAGTGTAATAGAGAACAACCCACCGTTAAAAATGCACTGCTGTCTAATGAGAAGGGGCCATAAACATCAAAACCTAGAGACGGTGCTAGATACCTGGCTGTAAATAACTGGATCTGGAATTAAAACAGGTTGGGAATCACAAAAATAGCTCTCAACTCACACGGTAGTTAATCCTCCACCCACCCAAAGTGTTTTTCGCGGATGACGAATATGATCAAAATTCTTCTCAAAGTTTTTTTTTGCCCCATGGACAAACACTTTTGTGGGTCTTTTTCTGTCTTATTCTCAGACTGATAAACTTTTTGGATTTCAATCATCTGAAAGTAGTACTTACAATCGAGGAAGCTTCTAGTGGGAGATTTCAGGTATCAATTTTCATGGCGTATTCCAGTGGTTGTTTTAACTACAAATACAATTTACATGGGCACAAAGATTAAAGACGAGGTTTTAAAATTTGCGGAGCACTTTTCTATTAGGATTCATTACCGACTAAGTTTACTCCAACCCTACAGCCTTATAGAAAGTCTTAAGCCAATTAACATGTAATGTTTCATTTTTAACTATTCTTGTGAAAAATCTATGCGATATGCAGCAAGTATGTTCTAGTAACTTCACCGACTTCGATATCATGACGTCAATGGCAAAGATAAAAAATGAAATGAATGGAGTTTTACGTCCTACTTTGCACCATTTTTGCAACTTTGCTAATGACAGGTAACGCCATACTGCGTGCAATGAGGGAAATTTTGCCAGGACAGTGGCATTTGCCTACTCTATTTCGATTTCCAGCTATCGAGGGATCTTTAACGTTCACAGTCTGTGGCATACGGTTTATTGTTCCATTCGAACGACTAGACGCTTTTTCCATGTCAGTCTCGCTTATCTACATCGCCGACAGGGGGAAACCGGGTTGAAAAATCGGAAGATATTATCTCGGCCGGTATTAAACCCTGGACCTTCAGAGCACGCGTTTAACTCACCGCGGCTCTAGTCAGAATTTAAGAAAAAGGTATTTCATTGGAATCGGATGAATCAGTCGTTTAAATATAGGCAAAGAACGAAGTGCTGAATAAACAACGAGGTTTGTTGATTACCACAATAAACAACCGCTTTACGGAAATTCAACTAGATTTAAATTAGCGTGTAAAATTTACCTTTCTTTCTGTATAAATACCAAGTATGAATATCCAGAACAGCATGTTAAACACATAAATATTTGTCAAACCAGTCAATACCATTTGAGCTCGATTGGAATTTAAGGTGATAAAACCATAAAGCACAAGGCATGATACTGGAATGGAGGTTGCCAAAGTGCTAAAGAACAGATGTTGAAGGACAAGATTGGCTTTGGTGACAATGTCAAGTACACTTTCATATCGGAGTCGCACTTCTTCTAGCTTGCTGTAGAGTTCCAAAGGTTTCTCCTTTGGTGTTTGTTCATCTGTAGCTTTTGTCAAACCAACATCGTCACTTTTTGGTGTTGGCAATAATGATCGATCATGTGATGGGGTAATAAAAGCAATCTCCTTTCGCCCAACAATCTGAGTTTCTGCAGTTATAATTTTCAGTCTTTCTGTTAAATTGTTCATTTCTCCACAAACTATAGTTGGAATGGTAATGAAAAGGGTCATCAAAACAGAAATTATGCTCAGTACAGCGAATGATATGACGTTCAGTACAATATACATAATGATAGAGCTGCCGACTATATCTGTGGAAAATGGGTAAAACATATCACCAACACCATTCCAGACCTTATCTTTTAACAGACTTGTCGACAAACCTAATGACACCATTGGCGTACCAATAACATAAACCACAAGGCATATTTTGAGTAATCGACGCAGTACTCTCGTGTTAACGAATTCGTCATGCATCACTCTATACTCGTCCAATGCCGAGAGAAATGGTTTAAAATGGACGGAGATGGAGTAGCAGGTACTTGTAGCAAGATATGCATTTCCTATAATGTACATGAACATTCCCAGTGAAACGAGTAAAGAAGCTGTGTCCTGTGATCGTTGGATGACGAAACACTGTCTGATCACACCAAGCCAGTTCAGTACCGTAAAACAGAAGAAATATATCCAGTAGCCAAATTTCTTACCCTTACTTGATCCTTGAGGAAAGTACAAAAAGCTTAAATGTAAGATTCTTATAATTGATGTGTAAATTTCCGAAGCGGGAGTAAAATTCCTATCGCCGACATTAGGTACCATTGTCGCCGATTTTTGAACGCTACAAAAATCTGCTTACCAACTCGTAGAGATGCAATGGTACTCGGAATTTTATGCTCCGTACAATTCGTAGTTGAAAAACACAAGAATCAATTTTTCACTATTAAAAGTTAAGTTGACAATCCACAGTTGCTGATGTAAATGCTGAACAGTGTACTCATCGTAATTCGCCGATTAGGCTATCTGAAACCACCCACACAAGCACGGCCAGGATTCTGTTTTGACATATAAAATGATACTAAATAGTTCTTCGTTTTAAACATCATTTCTGAATAAAATAGTTAATTCCATTTCAATCATCATTTATTACTAAAGCAACACTATTTATTTTTATAGTTAATAGTATAATGTTATTCAATTGTTTAAATAATAATGGACGGATTCGGTTGTAGATATTGCTGCGTTATCATACTCAATTGTTTTATTTTGGATGTTTTCTCTTTTTTACATGAATACAAACCTCTCTTTAACTTTTTAGTATAAAAATTTCGCTTTTTGAAGGTCGAAGATGTTTGTTGTTGCTCAAAGTTGTAAAAACTATACACCAAATTCTGGAGAAATGTGTCACTTAAGGTATCTGTAAGGTCAAACTAAAAAAAACTAACTTTTCTACGGGTGGTCGGTCTGTTAGGAGGGGGTGGTTTTAAAAAAAAAGAGGCTTGCCCGGATTTCACCCCCTGTCATATTTTTTTTCATAGAGAAAGAATGACCTGGTAAATTTGGGTTCTTGCTCAGTCATCTCACTTGATGTTTCGTAGGAACGCTAATGATGCAAAAGCCACTGTGGACATTATACCAACGGAACAAACATTGTGAAGTCATATGAAATCTAGTCAGTATGCACAAGCTGTTATGAAATGTATTTTAAAATTGCAGTACAAGTAATCTCCCTTATTTTCTACGTCAAGGGAGATAACTTGTTCATAATTTTAAATATATTTTGGAAGTAGGTTACTGTGACTTCTATTATTGTTACTGGTCTTTTTCTTATCGAGCTTACCTCAGACGACTTTTGAAATTGGCAGGTGTCATGTATCCGAATTAATGTCCCCACATACAAATGCTAGAACAGCAACAAACACGGAATTTAACGTCAAACATTTAATGTCCAATTCCGCTATCAACAAATGGGTCTTGATTTTTTTCTAAAACTAGGTGTATCTGTTCATTTGTTCTTTGAAGGCATACTTCAAATCCGAAACCACCGTTATGTCCTAGAATTTTAATTAGCCGAAAGACAATATAAGAACACTTCATACAACTCTGTTCACAGGTTTGATTACAAGAGAATTTACATTGCTTACATGTTTATTTGTATTATTCATTATGCTGATGACCATTAGCGTTTATCTGCATATAATAATGCTTTTTATACGCCGACATGGAAATGTGGACGTATATTGCTGTCGCCCCTGTCCGTCAGTCCTTCCGTTCACATTTCTTTCTTATAGTTTTTAGATGATGATGAAACTTGGTATCCATGCATATATTGCTGAGATCTCGGTCAATTTAGAAATTGGAAATAATCGAATAAACGGTTTCAGCCTTGACTTAGTCAAAAAACGCGTCAAATTTAGACTGTAGACACGATAGAAACTACTGTTTTTATCCTATCTTGATGAAACTCGATTTGCATATATATATTGATAAGATCTTGGTTAAGTTTGAAATTAGTAATATTGGGATGAACAGTTTCACAGTTATTGCGCGTGTGTGTACATTGATGAGACGTTGTTCATGTTTGAATTTAATGAACTGTTTCATGTTTTTGCTTTGACTTATAGATGATTTTAAGATTATTTGAAACTTCATTAAGCCATAAAAGGTTTTATTTTTTTAATTTCTGACAGCTGGTAGTGGGCGATGTTACCTTGCCTGGCAAGCTATCTTTATGATAAGACAGACTAAAAATATCTAGTGTGCAAATATTTATTCTGACATGCCGAGATAATCTATCTGGATATTCCTTGCAAATTCTAGTGGTGTAACTTGCATACTTCGGATGGAAAAAATTATTTCGATTTAAGCACTTCTTTTGCAAGACAGCACGTTTCGGACTATGTACGGTCAACAACAAGTTATACTGAATACTCATCAATAAATTTTAATCACAACTAGTGAAATATACTCACTCGAGTTTTGAGTGTCAGTTTGCTTGGTTTATAGCAACCGGTAAGTCGACCTTTTTAAAATGCTCTGAAATGTGGAACTCCACAGTGGAGTTTTTAGGAAACATTAGGTGAGGGGACTAAGCAGGGGCCACAAAATGTTTCAGGGGGTTGGGGCGGCACAGGCTATTCTTTAACTATGTAAAATTATAAAAAAATGAAAGTGGGGTGGGGGGGCAAAGCGCCGGGCCAGCCTTTTTCTGTGGCGGTATTGGGGGGGGCATTCCCCCCTCCCCACTTAGACTCGCCACTGGGACTCAGTGCAAATTTCACAATACTTTATCCCCTATCCTCCCATTTTTACAAGGGTTTTTTTCATTTTTCCTGAATAAAATAAGACTTTTTACCAAAATCTATTGCAATTTTGTGTTGAGATACGATACTTTGTGACAAATCCTGGTTCGGAATTAGGACTAACCGCTCAAAATAAGGAAAATGAATCGAAAAGACAGAAGTTTAGAACGTTCTCGAAGGCGGGGAATACTCCCAGCAAGAAATTGGGTTGGCCCGGCTTTGGCTCTTATTCTAAAATTTCTTATCATTGCATAAAATAGAAAGGATTGCCTTTGAGCCCTCATTGACAAGTTTGTGGCAAGCTAAACATCGATAGACCTTGGGACTGTTTGTTGTAAATGTCGTTCATACTTTAGGCTCAAAGAGAAAATATATATTTGGAGCGCTACAAGAAAGAATGCCAGTAGTCTAGTATCCAACTGCCGCTCCCCTTCCCCCCTCCCCCCAAAAAATCTCCCCTGTTTATCATTTTAATTTTGGTATTTTTGTCTTGCTTTTCAGGTCAGGGTGCTCAATAGCGGTCTTTACTATTGAGTCAATACACCATGGTTGGGATACCATCCCTGTTGAGGTTAGTATATTACAGATGTACATTATAATGTTATAAAATTGCGCACTATACACATAAATATACGGTACATGTATAATGTATAAATGGTCATTATGATTTATCAAGTGTAAGCTTTGAAATAGCAGTTAACACATTTGAACAACATGTGAGAATGTTACTATATACGTGGAAGTGACAACAGTCTAATCTTCCATTGCTACCTTTGTGCTTACTTTTAGTTAACCAAACGATTATATAGGCACAGCTTTATGGAACAACAATCACTGGTTAAAGTTTTATGCAACGTTTCGACGTGTTTCCCCCGTCGTTTATTTTCATTCACCGTTATTATTAATGATATTTTTGGTATTTTCAGGGTTTCAAGTATAGTAGCTCGTCTTCAGCTACGGACAACATGGTTAGATATGGTGTACAACCAAGGTTTTTGGAGGTAGTTCACAAGGAACAAAATTTTCGCGTTTTCGGGTTGGGCTCGCGTGTAGTTTAGATGTGGCAGCCTGTGGGCTACCTTGTTAGGGCCACCTTGGTTGTACTCGGCTAAGCTGCCATATCATGTCCACCAAGCCTCTCTTGGAACTAATGGAGGTAAGTTATTATTTTTGTTTTTCATTTCATAATAGTCAGAAATGTGTTGACTCCTACCTAGTCTATGATTTATAACAGGTGTGCGAGTTTACTTTATATATAACCCTTTATCCGTTAGTTTAATATAGGATAGCTATATCCACAATCTGAAATGAATTGAAATTTTGCTCCAATGAATCTGATTGGTTGCAAATTAAATTAAGCACAATAATGGCATATATGCGTGCAGGATCAAGGGTTAGATAACCAAATGTTCATTGACCTTTTATAAATCAAGGTGAGCTTTCAGGAAAACTGGGTTTTGTTAAAAGAGGATTTTGACCTCAATCTACAGGGTTCGGGATTTATAATACGATTTATAATACATTACGATACCTGAAGATGGTTTCATTGTCTTGCGCAATGTAGAAAAATCCCGGTTTTCCTGACTCGCCTCAGCATAGGTAGAAATCAACATGTTTCACCTGATAAAACCTTCGCACTTTACACGCAATTATACAAAATAAGGGCTGCGATTTGAACAATGATCACGAAATGATTGCTTCAAGAAGTTAACAGATAGAAAAGGTTTAAGAGGTTCTATATATTTTATGTGTATTGGGGAAACGAAGTGTTTGCTGACTTCAATAATCGCGAAGGGTCTTGTGTGATAAAGCATGTAGTGATTATTGACCTCATAAAACACTTAGTTTTAGTGGAATTGCAGGAACTACAGACGTCTAATTGAAAATTGCAATGATTTAAAATGATTCAAGTGTCCCCGATACACATAATCAAATTTAGAAAACCTTCTTTACAACCACTTTAAAGTCAATAGTAGTGCTGAATTTTGTAGTATCACCATTTAAACATGCTCCCAGTATTATTAATTTTTATGCAATATGAATTCAAGTCAATAGGTCAAACTTTAATATTATTGAATGAGTGAAATAACTCGCAGAAAATAAATGCTACAAATTGTTTAATTGCTGGCTGTCAATTTTGAATTTTTATGTCATTCTCTATAATGCAAACTCCAGTTTGACAAATTCTTTGTGGGTGAAAAACCAAGCATTATACATGCAAATATACGGTATTTATATGATGAAAGAAATAATGTATGGTATATTTATAATTTTAGGTGTATACAGATAGAGCTTCACATTATAGAAATGAAGTGCTTATGGTGTGGCATAGAAGCTCCTCACGTAAGTTTCAAATTATTCATATTACATGTATAACCATTCAGTTAAAAAGATACTACCTTAGAATGAACATGAAATTTAACTTCTCAAACATTGCCAATAAGAGTATATGTTCATCATGTATATTCACTTACCTAGTGTCATAGATATGCATCATAACCCTTTTATAATTCCGTTAAACAACGTAAGTATTGAATAAAGCTCATAAGACAAGTTTCAAGATCCTGTTGATCGGGAAAAATACCAGTTTTGTTCACGAGCCCCTTGTTAATAATTAATTAAGTACTGAGCTAATTAAGTTTGGAATGCCGACGAATATTTTCGATTATGCAACACATAATTACACGGACATTCATGATTGGTTAAAACTCTTAATCATAAGCAACAGGGACTATCTGCCGACACTGTGTCATTCTTTTGAGAAACAAGCTGTATTTCAAAGACTGGTGACCTTATATAGTGATCTTTTCTCCTTACTTCAGTCCACCCAAATGTAGATGAGTATGAATAATGCTGGAAAGATCATGCGGTTCTACTAAGGACCAGCTGATAGAAAGGATCTTTGTGAACCTAAGTTGTGACCCTTAGGGTTGTTACTTTCTTAGCTTAATTTGATTAATCTGTTTCCAATCTGCAACTTGTTTTATCAACTTGGCATGTCTTTGAAGAGTCTTCCTTTTACGAAACGCCAAATTAGTATTGGGTGGTATTCACTTCTAATAATATCATTTTGTATGTATGAATTCAAAACAGTCTTATCAACTTATATATATGAAACAAACCTTTGGGGTGACTTTTTATGTGGAATCTGACGATCTTTTGATGACCGGTTTTTGAGGTATTGCCCTTGACTAAGGAAAAACGCGTCAAAATGTGTTTGTGAACACAATAGAGACTACTTCATCTGATTTAAATGAAATTTGGCGTGATCATTTATAATGATGAGATCTTGGTCAAGTTTAAAGTTGACGATCTTTCTATGAGCCGTTTTTGAGTTATTGCCCTTGACTTAGGAAAAACGCGTCAAAATTTGTTGTGAACACAATAGAGACTACAATTTTCATCCGATTTAAATTAAATTTAGTGTGATCATTTATACTGATGAGATCTTGGAAACGTTTAAATTTGATTTTTCGATTAACCGAATTGAGTAATTGCCCTTCGTAAAAACGCATCAAAATTTGTTAGCTTGTGAGGTGACTGTTAATGTCAGAATTTTATGAAATTTTGTGTGTTTGTTGAAATGAACAATATCTTGTACAAATTAGATTTTTTGTACGATTTGAGGCAGATTGGTGATGCCCTTGATATGCTATCTTACTAGGCAGCGACTTGTTACTTATCTATACAGCTCAAACTTGTTCTTTAAATAACGATAATCATGAAATTCAAAATTCTTAGCAAACATCTTTATTACAACCCAGAAACTCAAACCTGAAATATAAAAAAAAATCAACGTCAGCAAGGTGGACTCTCCGACGTTGCCACACCCAGCTGCAGGGTGAAATAAGGGTGATATTTTTGTTAGTGTGAAAAGGAATATGACATTGTATCACTATTCATATTGATAACATATTGTCACCCTGTCGATTCGCAACTTGGTATGCATTTATTAACATATTGGTCAAGTTCGAATTTGGTAGCATTTGAAAAGAAGGTTAATGCCCTTGATTTAGTAAAACGTATCAAACTTGGCTTGTAATCATGGCAGGGGTTACTGTTCCTATCTGAATTAGATGAACGTTAGTGTGATGAGATCGCAGCCAAGATTGAACTTAGTAATAATCGGATGAAAGGTTTTTGGGTAGTTTCCCTTGTCTAAATAAATTTGACTTGTAGACACAACAGAGGCTATAGTTTTAATCCGATCTTGATGAAACTGTTGTATGATATCTCGTTCAAGATCACATTTGGTAATGACTGAATGAACGGTCTGTTCGTCTTTGACTTTGAAAACGTTTCAACTTTGTCTTTTAGACATGGCCCTTACTACAGTTTGTATCTGAACATGATGAAATCACTTGTGCAAATATGTGTATAGATAATTTTTGATAATTTCACATACATATTAAATTAGGAAGGCAATTTATGTTTACACCAAAGAAACATTTCTTATGGAACTGACCTTATATTAATGAGGTCTTGGTCGAGTTTAATGATGCCAATAATTTTAGTTATTACCCTTGAAACCTTTGGTGTGAAAAATGATGGTAGCAACATTTATAAAATTTTGACGAAACTTGGTATGGCTATGACATCTCAGTCAAGTTCCAACTTGATACTATTTTTTTTTTATTTGGACTTATTCAAAGAGGGACTAAGTTATTAAAAATGGAAATAATTTATATGGTGATGAGAGCTTGCTCATGTTTAAATTTGATGATACATGTAATTTGTTTTTTAATGAAATGAATAGAGTTTTACGTCCTACTTTTCTGCGGGGGGGGGGGCTAATGGGCAACGCCATTCAGGGTGCAATTTTGCCAGGGCAGCGACATTTTACTGCATTTTTTTTAATTCCAACTGCCGAGGGATCATTAACGTGCAGTCTGTAACATACAGGGCCTCGGTTTATTGTCCCTGTTGCCAAGTCAGCTCAACTAACCTGCATCACTGACGGGGAAACCGGGTTGAAAGTCCGAAGATATTATCTCGACCTATAATTTAACTTATGAAATACCTTTAAAAATTCAAACATAAAAGCAGTTTAATTTTGATAATTTTATGAATTTTTGTTATTGCTTTTGATTTTAAAAGATAATGTGGAAGAACTCAGCATAAATAACTGACAGTAAATTGTTTAGATATTAATACTTTCAAAGTTTTTGCACTACAAATGTATAATGAAGAAAATTCGTTTTTTAGTCACTAAAGATTTTTCGGAATTATTTCTGACAGCTACCAGTGAGGTATGTTACCTTGCCGGACAGACTATCTTTTGAGACTGTCAACATTCTTAAATCATATGTATCTGCCAGATTCGGTTAATTGAAAATAGTTAAAAAAAAAGTGTGAACTATGTAAAATCTACAGTTTTGAATAACGTGGCTGAAGAATTTTACTGCTGTGTGGGTGATTGTTTATTGAAAGCTTGTTTAGAAATAGATCTGTAATGTGAAGATTTTTACTATCTGAACTTAAATCTTTTTTTCAGGTTAGAAAGGGTAAATCGTCTGGTAATTTACCTACCCGCAATAGCACTGCCACAATAGGAGTGATCTGGGTTCATGGCCTATATGAATCTACAGAGCCTCCTATTCACAGATGAAGAACAGAAGAAGTGGCGCGCGCCTACGATACAGATGAAGAGGAACAGATGAAGAACAGATGAAGAGGAACAGATGAAGACGTGGGGTGATTCCTCCACCCATTTTTAGTAAGTTGATCTTACTATTTTTGTCTTTATTGAAATTTATTCAATATTCTCAGGAAAGACTAAGGCTTTCAACCTTACCAAAAATACCTTAAAATATCTAAATGTTTAGCCGGTGTTCCCAAAATCCCAATTTGATGGCACAGTTTGTTGGTTAATCCAGATTTCTTATAAACACGATAGAAGTTACAGTTGAGTCCATCTTGATGAAACTTGGTATTATATGAATATTGAGATGATAGAATTTCTGGTTTCCAGTCCCGATAGAAACTACAGTTGTTATCCTCTCTGGGATTCTGTATACACCTGTATATTTATGTGAATAGACAATAAATAGGTGAATGTTTTTTTTAGTTGTTGCCCTTTATTTAGATAGAAGCTACAGTTTTAAGCTGATTTTGGTGTGTATGTGTAAATTGATGAGATCTTGGTCATGTTCAAGTTTAGTAACCATTAGAGGAAAGGGTATTGATCTTAGATAAATAGTTTTAGGTCATTGATCATGCGATAGAAGCTTCAGTTGTTATCCAATTATGTTGCAACTTAATATGCATAGGCATCTTCATGATCTCTTAGTTGAGTTTGAAATGGTCAATACCGACAGACAGTGGCATCAAATTGGGATCTTAAGAACACCTGCTTAACATTTAGATAATTTTTATACGCCCACATGAAATGGGGGGCGTATATTGCCGTCACCCATGTCCGTCGGTCCGTCCACAATTGCTCGTAAACACTCTACAAGACACAATTCTTGACGGGTTTTGACAAAACTTGGTATGAATATTTGTAATCATCCAAGGATGAACCCTATTGAAATCAGAAGAATCGAAAAATATTTAGTATGAGTTATTGCCCTTGATCTTGAAAACGCGTTAAATTTTTAGCTCGTAAACACTCTAGAAGGCACAATTCTTGACAGATTTTGACAAAACTTGGAGTGAGTGTTCGTTATCACCCAAGGATGAACTCTATTGAAATTCAGAAGAATCGAAAAATATTTAGTATGAGTTATTGCCCTGGTTCTTGAAAATGCTTTCAAATTTAGCTCTAAAACACTAAATGAAATGATTGTTGCTGGATTTTGACAATACTTGGTTTTCTCATTCAGTCCCGCACTGAAGATTGAATGTTTGCCTTCTAGCATGTCATGAGTTAAAAATTACACACGTTTTCAAGAACAAGGGCAATAACTCATACTCAATATTATTCAGTTTAGCCCTAAAGAGTTCAAAAGAAGTGTATGACTGAAGGTTGAATATTTCATACTGGTGATTGTTACTGTACTGCTAAATATTTTTATTCAAAAGCAAAGCTGCCAGTGGGCGTATATGACCTTGCCTGGCAAGCTATCATAGGTATTTTGGGTACGGTTGAAAGCCTGTATCTGTCCTGAGAATGTTAAATGTCTTTGAAGAATTTCTGAATTTGAGATTTTACAGCTTCGTTATTTTGATAATTTGCATTTGGAGATTGTCATTGAAGAATTTTAAAACAAATTCAGCAAGCTTACATATAATTAATAAACTTTATATTTTATTTACTCCAAAGCAACAATCACCCTTGAAAGTCATTGAGAATTATGGTATTGTTCACCTCTGTGATATCTTTTTCTGTTCCATTCAAGGCATTAGTAGCACTCAACCCAAGCTTCGGCTCACACTTTAACTATATGTCCAATTAAGAAATAATGAATAATGATCATTACATGTAGACCCTACAAAAGAATATGAGTGGGAACGAGGATATTTTTCAAATTGAAAATTTTGAATACAATTTTGCAGTCTTTATCACTGTGGTCTGTATTGCAGATATGGATAATTTGGATGTAATTGTTTTATATACACATAAAAATGTGGGCATTTATTGTCAGCTATGTTGTTTGTCAACAGAAAAGAAATATCAAATTTTGATGGCAAATGGTGCCATTTTGATAGAGTTTTTTGTTATTATAGCCCTTGACATAGTCAAAACATGTCACAATTAATGTTATAGTCGAGAAAATATATTGGTGCTCATTTGGGTCAGATTAAAAAACATACACATTATCAGTCTAAATTTGATACATTGATTTGTACCTTGATGGGCAAATTTGTCTTTGACTTGATATATTGCAACTCCTACATGCCTGATTGCAAGCTGGAGCTAATAAAGACGGCTAATGTTTTCATAACATGGTCAAGATTAGTCTACATTTTATAGGTTTTGAATTGTTTAGGTTCATCTCTCAAACATGCTTTTCATACATGGATAACAAATCAGGTCTACCAGCATCCGTTCTACCGGCTGGTCCTTGATCAAATCTTGGAATGTTAATCTTATCTAATCTTATTAATAATATCCTTATCTAGTTGCAGCTGGCTCAACTGTAATGATGGGGATATATGACTTATTCAAGGTTACCGGACTTTCACAAGTCACTCAAAGCTCCTTATTTGCTTTCGGTAACCTAGCAAATGACATTCCAACGCTCCATTGCATTGTGTAAAATGTCTTGATTGATTCACTCCATTAATGATTTGATTCGAGAAAAAAATTATATTCCTGAAACATAGTGAGATGTAACCAGAAACGGATAACTGTATCAAAAACTCAATCTTCTCTGACTCATCAATTATCAATATACAACACAATCACAGTGACAAGAGTAACATGCTAATGTATCAAAGGTTCACTAATATCTGACTCGTAAAAACTTGATAATTGATATTACAACCAAACACATTGACTGTAATGTTGTAAACAGTTGATAAATACAAAATAAGTGACACTGACTACTGTGTCAAAATATCTGTCTGAATTGTAAACACGTGATAAATATAGACTACTTGTTCACTGTTTGAATTGAAATAAAATTATTATTGTCATTTGTTTAAATTTCAGCCGTCAGCAGGAACTCGATAGCGGTTTTTACTATTGAGTTTGACATACACCACTTACAGTTAGATGATCAACTTGGCACGGTCAGTACACTTGTTAAAATTAATCTCATTTCCTATTTTGTGAGCTTTCTTATTTTTATTTAAGGGGATTGTTAAGAAGTTTTCTAGGTGTTTTGGGTCCATGATACAAAATTGATGTGCAAAATTTCAATTTTTTATCATCTGTAGTCCTTGCTAATCTACTGAAACTAACTGTTTATGGACTTATTTCCATAATTTGAATTCCTGTTTCTCTTCTTCCAGGGTTCCAAGAACAAAATAGCTGGTCTTTAGCTATAAAAGGACATTTAATTAGGGAGTTCAATTAGGTTATGGTGGAGCACAAATGTCCAAAAGGCAACTCTTGGAGCGAAGCTAGGTAAGAATAATAACGATAATTTCTTGTATATGATATAGCAAAATCAAATTGTAAATATAGCGAAGTTAAAAGGGACTGTAAAGAGGATTTCTAGCCTTTTTGTGTGTATTACTTACACCTTTCAAAATTTCAAGCTAGGTAATGCTAAGAAATGATTTCTGAGAAATGTATTTTCGTTTATTTTACAAACAATAATCTGTTGATTAAGATACGCAAATAAAAACATTTAAAGATTTAAGTAGACCTATGTAACTTATGTTAAAGTCGTTATGTGTTTGGTGAGTGTTGGAAAACGAATGTACGGATCTGGCAAAAAAAATCAAGCCGTTATAAGTCTCACTTTTAAAACAAGTTTAAACTACCTAATCAAACTTCTCAGATTTGTCAATTATGTTAGATTATTCATAATTTTAGGTGTAGACAGAGCTTCACAATACAGAAATAAAGTGCTTATGGAGTGGCACAGAAGCTCTAAAGGCAAGTGGGCATTGTTATTATTTGATCCATGATATTCTTACCGCACCATTTAGACTCCTAGTATCTTAAACCTAGCTATATGAATTTGTCCTTGATGGCGTAGCCCAGACGACACCAAGTCTGCTGGGCTATTGGGTGTTGTGGGTTCAAATCCTCTTCCATGGTTATAAAGTTATGATGCCAAAGTCAGTGATTCTGAGAGTCAGGCCGGTATCAACTTTCATTCGTCATCACCTACACTTTTGAAATGTCGTTTGGTGATAATAGAGATCAAAGGAGTTTTACAGTGGACAATATCTATGGAATCTACCAATCAAACCGGATAAGCCATTTTATCCAAATCTAAATGTTGTTAAACTGATCGATTTTTTTTGTGTTGTTTGTTTGACTGGTTGATTTAACAAAAATGATTTTTGTCTCTGATTTTTAGGTTAGAAAGGGTAAATCGTTTGGTAATTTACCTACCTGCAATAGCACTGCCACAATAGGAGTGTTCTGAGGTCATGGCCTGTATGATTCTGCAGACCTCCTATTCACAGATGAAGAGGAACAGATGAAGAACAGATGAAGAGGAACAGATGAAGAAGTAGGGCGATCTCTCCACCCATTTTTTGTAAGCTTATCATACATCTTAATTTTTTGAAATGATAATACCATAATTACATCATTAGCTGTGCAAATTGCTGAATTAGAAACCGTTTGAAAATCCAGTGGCATTCAGCATGCCCTGGATCAAAAGTGATGCCCAATTAACCCAAATAAAAAGAAATGTGTACTCAAATGCAACTTTAAATGGTATTACAATGTTTAGTTTTTTCTATATTTCTCTTTTAGCCGTCAGCGGGAACTCGATAGCGGTCTTTACTATTGGGTTTGACATACACCACTTACAGTTAGATGATCAACGTAGCACGGTCAGTACACATTTTAAAATTAGTCACATTTCCTATTTTGTGAGCTTTCTTATTTTTATTAAAGGGGATTATTATAAAGTTTTTTCAAGGTGTTTTGGGTCCATGATACAAAATTGATTTGCAACATTTCAACCAGTCCTTGCTACTCTACTGAAACTAACTGTTTATGGACTTATTTCCAATAATTAAAATTCCTGTTTCTTC